CCATAAGTTTATTAAAGTTTTTTATAATATACTAAATAAAAATTACAAAGTAGGAAAAAACAACTAAACTATGACTATCTCCTGTAATCTTATTGCTAATAAAAGCTCAAACCTGTTTAGATCGACTGATCACCAGAATTCCTCTCTGACCCAACCAAGAAATCCATATTTAATGACTGAGCCGTCAACAAGAAATTCAAATGAGGTTGTCAATACAGTAACGTAATTTCTAAATGCCCTTCGATCCTAACTTCTAAATAAATATATCCGGCAAGCTTATAAGGATTTGTATTGAATTGTCACCGATCCCAACTCTGATCTCAGGTTACTCATAACTGATACGTCGGGTGTTGGTAAATCATGTTTTCTGATTTATTTGTTAATACAACTTTTATGCAATGTTGATAATGCCACTGTCGTTTTCCAATCCTGTCAAGGCAACTTACTTTACTGTTTCAAGAATACAAATACCATTATTGGAAATATTTTGAATCACCTCTACCTTCCCAAAATATGGTACCTAGTGAACAGTGTAGCTCCCGCTTTGGTCAAAGCAAGGACAGTGGTTGCTGTATCACCAAATAGCTTCAAAGATCAATTTCAAGAGTTTCTAAGCGAGTTGTGAATAGGTATGGATGATGGAAGAGCTTTTAATCTGTCAGCAACATGTCTTTTCGTAGGTTCCAGAAAATTTGATGCTTGATCTCGCTGACAAGACCAGAGGGGTGTCACAATCTGTTCTTCAGACACCAGCACGTCTGATTAAAAAATATAAAATCTATCAGATGATGTGATTAATGATATAATTGTAAAGAAATCTATGGAACGCATTGAAGAAGCTATTTTACAGATCAAAAACTTTAACGATCTTATACTATGCTTTACCGAAAATGCCAGCTTTGTTAAAATTAGTAACTGAATTATTCACCGATGGCCAGATCCTTCTTACGAAGATTACCACTTTGAAGGGCTTTGAGTCATATTTATAATAAAATCATGAAAAAACTAGAGAAGTTTAGGTGAAACGAGCTTCTGCAGAAAATTCAGAATCCTTTAGACCTCACAAATGCTAGGGAATTATGTTTGAATTGTATATAATACATCACTTAATGATTTATAATGGTAGAGGTGAAAATTTTGGATACAATATGAGATGTTTGCAGGTAATAAAGTACCCTTGATCAACATTGATAGTAATCAAGAGAAATTGACCTTATTTTTTTTGGTGCATTATCAGAATAACAATAATCATAGAGAAAATAAACATACAAATTCAAGAAAAAACATTAAATACGTCCGAACTGTACAGAATCTTTCTAATTATAATGATGATGATGTGGTTATCTGACCAACCGTGAAAAATTTTGGTGCAATAGATCTATTCATTATACCAGATTATGTTTTTCAAATTACAGTGTCTAAAAAACATCCCATCAAACAAAAAGAGCTAGTCAAAATAATTTCAAATATGTTAGCCTACAAAAGGGATAGTAATGCAATAATTTGACTTGTGTTTGTAGCTCTAGATGACATATATGATGACTTCGAATACCAGAACTATGTAACGCCAAAGAAAAATATTGGAGACAATCTTGAATAATTTAAGGATGTCGAACGATTATCTCCAGTTCTCAATAATGTGGAACAATGGGTTTTGAAAATTGATATGTCTATACGTTATTAAGCTTAAACTGTTCGTCGTTAAGTTAACAAAGATTATTTGCTAGCAAGGAATTTAAGTACGTCTAAACTATGGAAGAAATAAACACGAATAATTAAATTGAAGGGTTAGGTCATCTTTACTGATATAGATTTAAAGAAGAGTGAATTGTTTAACGAGTAAAGATAAGTTTTAGAGATAAATGTTATTGATTTATTAGAGAATTAGTAGTGACTCTGCCATTTATTGAGGCAGAAATACAAGATATTTATATAAAATACATCAATATGAAATAGATATTT